TTTCTTTATTGGATTTTGCATTATTGCGGAAAGACAGAAGTTTACCTGATAGATATTTAGTTTTACTATAGGTATTATCCAACAGCCACAATCCTACCAGCATTTTCTTTTTTTCCTCAGACCTGCAACCAGAAATATAATTATACAAAATATTTGTGTGAAGCTGAAAACATCATGTTAGGACCTTTATATATACAGTCTATGGTTAGGACCCTTCCTTGGTTTATTTGGAAAGCAAAAGGAGGCTCACTCAGCCTGCCTCCGTTTTACAACCTCGGTTTCGTTCATTTCTACAAACTAAAGGTGACACTGAACCACAGTAGTTCTTTTGATAAGCAGGTGCATGAGCACAATTAAAACCTGAGCTCATATCATTGTGGTTCTGGAGAATGTTGCCAAACCAGTTTCCTCCGCTTACATCTGCAGATGCCGCATTAAATTCCAGTGTCATTGTGTTGCAGGCAGGCACACCTGTGATGAACACACCAAAAATGTAACACACAATGCAATGAAAACTTTATGTGCAAGAGGTGAAACGAAAGTTAAACTTTATAAAGTTTCCTCCCAAAGCTTGAAGGTGCTTATATAAGGCAGAGTGAGCTCACCGCCTTCATTCTTGGTGGAACGAAGGGAAGGTAAGTGAACACACTCTTTGTTTTTTGTGCATTTACATTAAAATACAGTAAAGTGTATCAATACAAGAAGATTAAGTGAGAAGCAGTAGATTATTTCTCAGAAGTGAAGTTTATTTTAAGCCTGTCATATGCTACAAATTGCCTGAGGATATTACTCCTGCAAAATCAGTTTATACTTCTGTAACCATTAAGTGAATCACTCTCCGCACATTGAGGATCTGTAAAATCTGTTATTAATTGCATTTTTGTTTATACTTTTTTTACGGGGTGTTGTATTTCAGTTTTATTGTATGTAAAGCAATTTGTTAATATTGGTTTAAAACAACTACTACTGTGTCATAAGGACTATGTTTCATAGATTTCTATACGATCGGCCTTTGTACTTTTTGTAAGAGAGGTGTTGCCCCATGGTTGATATTAGAAAGAATGCAATAACTTTTTCAGACTCTTCCAGGGCTTAAAATGTGTCGTTTAATGATTTCTTAACGTCTTGTTTAGTTTCTGTTTTCAGTCATTTTGCAATGATGTTTAGTTTTGCCATATGGAATCCTTCTGAAGTCGCTAATATTTCTCTTTCCTGCAGTGATACTGACACCAACATGCAGTGCTTCTGGACTGAAGATGTGTTCGATGAGGTTTGCCAACTTCAAGGGCTCTCTGTGCCAAATGATAATAGAGAGTACACCATGTACCATGGCACTACCAGGGCCATTGCTCAATCAATCCAGGCCACAGGTTTTCGCCCTTCCCCAAAGGGAATGCTCGGCCCCGGCGTCTACCTCAGCAGAGAGCTGCAGAAAGCTAGCCGTTATCCCATTAAACACCCAGAGCATGACAGGATCGTCATTAAGTGTTGGGTGAAAGTAGGGAAAGTGATCAAGATCGATTACCAAGGCCATCCAAGGCAGAAGACCTGGCACGACCACGGCTTCGACACCGCCTGGGTGCCCCCCAACTGTGGGATGGTGGATAGCGGTTTGGAGGAGGATTGTGTCTGGGATCCTTCTCGAATTACAATCTGTCAAATCATCAAGCCTACCACTATCCCAGTCCAAACCTATGGTACACATGACTACATGTGAGCCCTATGAGCTGTAACCCATTTATTTTTTATGTTTAAAACTTTTTATAAAAAGTTAATGACTTTAGCATTTTGAAACTGTGTCATTGTCGCATGGAAAAATAAATGGTTATATTAAATCTGAGTTTGTGTCTGGTTATGTGAGTTTAGATTTATTTTGAGATATATGTGTACAAATAGTTCCATACAAACATTTACCGGTAAGTTGCGCAAACCAAGAAAGATATTTGATATTCTCATATGAGATATAATCTCACATACATTTTTTATTTATATCTTACTAGAAATAAACTCAGAAATATTTATTATAGGGACTAAATACCGTGTCTTGTCTAGAAAATGGCAGATTGTAAAAGAGAAGATGTATAAAGATTAGTCATTATTATTATTATTTATCTTTCTTCCAGATACTGATACCAAATAGGGTTACAAAAAGTAGAATAATAGAATAATTCCTCCAGTTATCTATTATTCATTCTATCACATGTTAGTGGCGTGGACAGAAGTTGACCTGAGAGATATTTAGTTTTACTATATGTATTATCCAACACACATTTTTCTTTTTTTCCTATATAAGGACTCAACTTGGGGCTCAAAATTATCAATCACTATATAGTCATAATGATATTAATACCACGTTCTCTGGTAATATAATTATTAAATAAATAAGCACATGTTAAAGCCTTTAAACTCCTGAAAATTAAACATTTTAAGTTTAGTGCAAAATAAAATTGAGTGTTTTAAATGATGGCGATAAATGAATATAGGCCCATTTAGTTTAGACAGTAGCTGCCGGGTCCCGCATGAGCTCAGCCCCCTCCTTTTATATTTTTTTAAAGCTTTAAACCCCAAATCAGCACTTTTGAAACAGGAAGTGAAATAGAGGGATATGAGGCATGGCTAGAATGGGTGATCTGTTTGGTATTTTGAGCAAAACACTTCATAGACATGTTTTTTATATATTTGTATATATCTGAGACCTATGCTATTTGCTGTTTGGCAATGGCAGAGGAGATTTGTCACATTTTTCATGGGCGCACCCCACATACTCAGCTCTACTGCTCATCCCATAAATGCATGTTCCTCACAAATGTGGCACCATTTGAAAGGTGACTAAACCTAAACTAAATTGCCAAGAAGCATTGTTACAAGAAATAAATAATCTACCAAACACACATTTCCTGACTTGTTGTGCTTGGTTTATTAAACTTAAATAACCTTAAAGTAAAACTTAGAGAACTTATATTATCATACAAATAAATTCTAAAACTTATAGTATACGTTATATTATAGATAAGACAATATTATAATGTTATTGACCCCTCAACTAAGAAAGTTTTTTTTAAAAAGTGTTTCCTTGTACGATGTGAGGGTCTAAGGACAGAGGGTGTCGTATTGTCATACTGATATTCTGTACAAACTGTGAAGTCCACTGAGACAAATTTGTGATATTGGGCTATAGAAATAAACATTGATTGATTGATTGATTGATTGAAAGTCAATTGTAACAGCAGCTCAAAAGTCAAAAAAGTAAGAGTGATGGATAAAAATCAACTTTAAGTATTTGACTTTAATACGTACAGTATCCACACCGAAAACATCTTTCACTTTATTAATTATTGTTTTATAAATAATAATTATCAATAGTACATAAAACGTTTTTTTAAATGTAATTGATGAATAATTTATAATCATTACTCATAAGTAGCTAGTTCCAGGGGTAGATAAGATTGGTAAATGTGATAGGTCTAACTTTTAACATTTTAAATATTTCAAGTCACTAGAGGGATTTCCGCTGCAGGTTTATATTTTCGTAACATTTGGCGCGACTTGTCCACATGCAGCTGCCACAGGGGTTGAGCTGCAGACTGGAGGAGCTGCAGACTGGAGGAGCTGCAGACTGGAGGAGCAGACTGGAGGAGCTGCAGACTGGAGGAGCTGCAGACTGGAGGAGCTGCAGACTGGAGGAGCTGCAGACTGGAGGAGCTGCGTGCTGCATCAAGCTGGAAACAGGAAGCCACGATAACAAGACCGGGAATATCATGTAGATTTCAAATTAAAGTATTTTTTTGTCAGTTAAAACTTTCTTTTCAAAAATCACGATTCTTCACGATTTTCTTTTACATTTTAATACAGAATATGTCCCTAGAAAAGACAATGGAAACTATTAAATATTATTGTACTTTCTGCTAATTAGAAGAAGACATTTTGTAATTTGTTCTGGTCTGATTTTGGACAGTATTTCAAAAAGAAAAACACGGGCAAACATTACAACTTCAGGATATTGACATTTGATATGTTTTAAAGGTGATGGGATGGGGTTGTAGAGTTGTATTTCATTTGTGGGGTAATTCCACATCAATAAGAAAAAGATGGATAAGCTTCATACCGAATGTTGGACACAAGCAGTGGCGATTCTAGAGTCTGTGGGGGCCCTAGGCAAACATTCACTGGGGGCCCCTCGAACCAGCTTTTCATCACCACGCACCCCCCCCCCCGGAGCGGAGCAAGGCATCGAAATTTAGGATAAGAAGCAGCATTTGACGGCGCTATGCATGGGGCCGCCTTGAGGGGGTTTCCCGACATGTCGTTGCAGTAAATGAAAGGGTGTTTCATGTTGTCGTTGCTGTGGACCTTCTTGATCTACCTTCTTTGGGGCCCCCTTCTGGTCCGGGGCCCCAAGCAGTTGCCTGCCTTACCTGTTCGCAAGCGGCGCCCCTGGACACAAGAAATACAGCCATATACCACAACAACAACAAAAACAACAACATTATGAAGAAGAAGAGCCTTTTTGCTTCCACGTACCATAAAAAATGCATTTGAGGCAAATCCATATTTGAGCTTTGATTGATTTGTACATTTTTTGAGCACAGGATATCATTGACTTTATATCTTGATCGCTTCCATAGATTCAAAAGGATTGTCATATGCATAATAAATACAGCGTAGTTTGGCAATGAAAAGTGAACGTGGAGGCTCCTCAAAAAACTGCAACATACAAAATACGTAGATATGATAATGTAAGAAAGTTGCAGGAATAAGGGAAATAAAATCGTCTAAAAAGGATTCCCCATGTTGTTTTTTGTTAGCTAACAAATGATGGATAATGTTTCCATACCACCATCATTTTAAATTGTAAACATGCGCTGTCATTAATTGACAGGTTTTATTTTGAAGCGTGTAACCGGAAGTTGCACTCTTTATTCTGAAACCCACTTTACCACCCCTCCTGTCTCTCTCTCCAGCATCACCGGCTCTCACAGTGACCCGCAGAGCCGAGCAACAGAGCACCTCGGCGGGGAGACATGGCCTCAGTCTCCCGTAGTAACCGGAGCTCAGTGTGGAGCTGAATCCTAGGGGAATATCTGGATTTTTCTAGCGGTGTTTTCCTCCCTAAACTCGGGGAAACAGCCTCCAGCAGCAGCAGCGTCTGTTTCTGACTCCTAAAGGACAGACTGCAGATCAGAGTCCAGGAGTTCCTGCAGGAGGTGATGCTCTCCAAACGTCACCATGTTAACAATTAATCCATCCGACGTTTGGTGCGTCAAATTGCGCATTTACCGGGGCTTTTGATCGGTTTTAATTAACGCTACAGGTCATTTAACACTGGACTTGTTGTATGTAATCCCCGGAGGAGTGTACCTGTGATTTCTACCATGATCTGAGGGCAGTGAAGTGAGACAAACATTTGCAGAAGTCACCTGGCCTCGCCATCTGATTGGCTGTCCATGATGGCGAATAACAACGAGCTACAGGTGAGTTTCCAAACTTGAGCTTTTTCATTACATGCTGTGTTAGTGTGCATATTAGAGCAAACAAACTACATACACTCATGCATGTAAAGATCAATTGTTGGGGAAACATTGGAAACATCGTGTTAATTGATTCTGAAGTGGTGGTAGGAAATATGTTATGGATGTACTTTGATGATGTTCTGAAAAAAGGTTGTTGGTACTTCACTTCCAAAGGCTGGGGAATTTGCAAAAGACAGCTTTCAAAATTATGTAAGGCTCTAAATTGAAGCTGCAGCCTGATTTTGAGTCCTTAGAATGGGTTAAAGTCCAAAAATGCTTAATCCTACAGCTCCCATAATGCAACTGGATAGTGTCTTTCATTAAAGCTTATATGCCTAGTAAATACCAATCTCATTCAAAGTGCACATTTGAGTTACAAATCAGTTCAAAATGTGTGGTCTTCACTTCCACCTTCTCATAATTGGATTAAGCCAGATATGGGAATGGTACTCATGTTTACCAATTACTTAGGAGGTACTATGTCTGAGCTTTTGTCAATTATTTGCTTTTTTGGGACCTATCATGCAAAATGCACTTTTTGATGTCTTTTATACATCAACACGTGTCCCCGGTGTGTCGGGGAACTCACGCAGCGTCAGAAAATAAAACCCTCTCTCTTTTCCTCCGTACCCAAATCTCTAAAAACGGGGCTACAACGGAGCTGATCCAGATTTGCGTCCGATATGACGTAATATCTGAAATGTGGACCCACGGCCCTATCAGAAAGTTGCTATCAGAAACAATGCCCGACTGTTTTGGACGTAATATGGTCGGTGTTTACATTAGCATCGCTAACACTCAGAGCTAACCTGTACTGGAGAGCATGTGTGTGAAGAAGCAGGAAATAAAAAGGAACTCACCTTGTGGTATAACCGGCAAGAGAGAAAGCCTTTGAGCTCCATACTGTTTCAGAGATAATCCTTGATAATCCATGATATGGCGTTTCATCACGGCAGTATTTAGTTTAGACAGTAGCTGCCGGGTCCCGCATGAGCTCAGCCCCCTCCTTTTTTATTTGTATACATTTTTTTTTTTTTTTAAAGCTTTATACCCCAAATCAGCACTTTTGAAACAGGAAGTGAAATAGAGGGATATGAGGCATGGCTAGAATGGGTGATCTGTTTGGTATTTTGAGCAAAACACTTCATAGACATGTTTTTTATATATTTTTATATATCTGAGACCTATGCTATTGCCTCAGAATAGCATGAAAGGTGACCTTTAATTATTTGAGGGTCTCAAAAGTAACTAATACCCTGTCAAATAAATATAGTGGCGTAAAAAGGACAATATTAGGAATATTCGTCGAAGATTATTGACAACTTCACAAAGTGTGAATGCCTAAAATCTTACTTAATATTGCAACTGTAGTACATTTAAAGTTGCTTTCCACCATTAAAGACTATTATTATTATTGAACATCGAGAACATTTTGATAAAACACAGACTAAAACTTTATGAAAGTCTACAGGTTTTCCTTTTCTTAACAAAGCATCAATTAGAAAAATTGTAAAACAGAGTAAATGTGTGTTCCCCAATCATTGATAGAGGTAAACAAACAACTAATGGACAAAACCAACAACAACATGAGCTGTATTTCTTACACAATAAGTGGATAAACTGTTTATTTCACAGATAAAATCACAGCTATAGCCTCCACTTCCTCCACAGCATTGATACAGATTAGATTTCCCAGATGAAATGCGATGATTTCCCGATTGTGACGCAGCAGTTCCCCTCAGGTGGGTCTGAGGTGAGTCACGGACGGTGTTCAGCCTCAGGTAATAATTTAGAGGAGGTCGAGTTACAATTCCTCTGTTGTGGTGTCAGAGTAGCTCAGGACGCATTAGAGGGAAATGTTAAAAACCAAAGGCTGACTGTAGAGAGACTGTGCAGTTGACATTACATTTTTACAGTATAAGTACATTTATTTGGTGAAGTTGTACGGAGCTCAGATGAGACGATTGCAAGACATTAGTGCTGCAAAATTAATAAGAAATGTATAAAAATCGCAGCCCTTCAAGACACCTATTGTGATTTATGTGTGACAGCTTCTAATAACCACCTCAACTCACTCATATCTCCTGAATGTATCTACACCTGTTCACAGCAGCCTAAAAGCAACACGTGTAGAGACAGAACAGACACAGCCATATCTTCATAAGTTGTCTCACACTCCAACAGTATTTTTAACACTATGTCGCCACTGTTTCCTTTGTTATGAGTGAAAACTGGCTTCTTCATATGAGTTTCTCTGAACATGAAGGTGCCTCTAGTGTTTCTTGGAAAGCTGTGTTTCCTATGTGGGTCATCAGTAACATCCGATATGGGCCATAGTTCATACTCATTTGTTCAAAGTGCAAAATAAACATGCTTATTATGCACAAGAGGAACTTCTCCCATTTGTTCGAGACATGGAAATCTTCCTGGACTTTGTTTTTCACGACAAGTGTCATATGCCCACAATTCGATATAGATTTCTCCTTCTCTAAACACCTTCATGGCCTCATAACTGAATATATAACACCTCGATGATTGTGATTGCCTGCAATTGAGCAGTTTCTGCCCGGTCTGTGGTTAGGGTTATTGAGATCAAAACGCTGCGTTGATAATGATCTCAATCTGTAAGACAGACCGCCGTGTGATGACTGAGCTCGCTTGATGATTTCACCTTAGTACCTCATTCTATAGAGCGGTGCAGGGATGATGTTTATTTGTAGGCCGAACCGAAAGTTAGCATCTCCCTAGTTCCCTCAACAAAAAGCCAATGGGATTTTTCCATTGGATTGTGAATTACTGCTGAAAATAATCTGTGTCAAACAAATGTTTATGATACTTACACGTCTTGTTCAGCAGGATAATCTCCATTACCCCACTTTATGATTTTTTTTAAGTTAAAAGCTAACCAATAAAGGAACTACATCACGGTCACATGACCTCACGTCACCACCGCTAAGCTAAAGGCAGCTAATGACCTAACAATCAACATCGGCACCTCTATTGTTTCCCCGACTCAGACTGCAAGGAATCTGGGTGTGACCCTAGATAACAAACTGTCCTTCACTGCAAACATCACTGCAACAACCCGCTGCTGCAGATACACGCTTTAAAACATCAGGAGGATACGTCCCCTCCTGATCCAGAAAGCGACGCAGCTTCTGGTCCAGGCTCTCGTCATCTCACGCCTAGACTACTGCAACTCCCTCCTGGCTGGTCTACCTGCATGTGCCATCCGACCTCTGCAGCTCATCCAGAATGCAGCGGCTCGTCTGGTCTTCAACCTTCCTAAATTCTTCCACACCGCTCCTCCGCTCCCTTCACTGGCTTCCAGTAACTGCTAGAATCCACTTCAAGACACTGGTACTTGAAAACCTGATGTACTTATATGATTCTGTTTTCTTCAAGTTTGTATCTTCTTGGTCGAATGCACTTATTGTAAGTCGCTTTGGATAAAAGCGTCAGCTAAATGCAATGTAATGTAATGTAATGTTGGGCGTGATGACGTTTAGTCGTCTCATTTAGACACTTGTTAGCAACCGCTGTTTTAAAATTCACCAGAGGGGTATTTACTCACATATTTTATGTTAAAATCTCTTCATCTGTTGTTAACCACAGACCTTATTTCAGGCTTCTAAACAACAAGCATTGACGTTGAGGGGGCTCTGAAAGGCTAAAAAGTGCTCATATTTGGGTTTTAGGACTCATTCCTGCACCACTCTTTTAGAGGTCATGACTGCTGGGTCACAGAGGAAAACATCTCTCTTCCTCCCCCCCACCTCCTTTAAAAACACATTATCCATACATGCACATAAACTGACCATCAGTGTAATGTAATGTAATGCTTCTCTGAGCTGTTCGCTAAGCTAACAACATAGCATACACTTTGAAGTAGCTACATACTTAGCGGGCGCCTTCTCATGAATTCTTTATTTCGGTTGGTTTCCTGTAGTTATTATCTGTAGGAGTCGGAGGATCTTCTTTCAGTGGTGAGGAGTGCAAGGCAACTCCTTCTCTTCTCAACCAAATTACTTTTTATTGATCATCAAAGAGAGTGAGGGCAGCTGGGTTAATGTCCTTAATGGCATCTGAGTACAGACAGCAGTACTGGCATGTTATAATACACAGACATATCTTGCATGGCACGCACCGTAATGTGTGTCTCCAGCTGCCACTGCCATGGATAATAGGATTAGAGGAGTGGACTTCACTGGGTCTGACCTCCTATGAGGGTGGCATTAGTTCACACACACACACACACAACCCCCCCCAACATCCAGCCTCCTCCACCCTGAATCCAGGATTACACGGCGTCTGCAGAAATCTGTCTCTGCCCAGACACACGAGATCAAAACTGCTGCATCGATGGGACATCTTAATGACCGTCATCAATAAAACCAACCGGTGCATCGTGCCTGAAGCTTGTTGTTCGGGTGCGAAGCAATCACGATTCACTCCAGAGATGAGTGATGATAAGTAAAATGCCAACCCAGAAAACAAATCAAAACTAGAACGGGAGAGTAGACCAAAGCCGATGATGCCTTCACTTGAGGCCGAATGGTGCCATTTTCCTTAGTTGTTATTCTGAATTTGGTGGTGCAGTAATGAGTCCTAAAATCCGGAAAATACTTGGCGTTAACCTCTTCCGGTTCCCTCGTCTCAAAGTGAATGTTTTTTTACAATTTTCTTTGGTTGTTAGCCTGAAATAAGGTCTGTGGTTAAAACAAGCTGAGGACATTTTCACGCTTTGTTCTACGACATAAAATACGTCAGTAAATACCCCACTGGTGAATTTAAAAATGGCGGTTGCTAACAAGTGTCCAAATGAGACGACTAAACGTCATCACGCCCCAACATTAGCCACTTTTAGCTTAGCGGTGGTGACGTGCAAACCAGAAATACTACAAGTAAACTGGTGAAGGTTAGAAATAATTGCTAGTTTTACTGGTTTTCAGCTACATGAA